CACACACACACACACACACACACACACACACACACACACACCTTTTGTCCAGTTTAGCTCCCCTTGTCTAATTTCACTGTACCATTTAGCATTCATACACTATATGTACATGATATACAATGACTCTTAAATACACCACTTTCAGTCTATTTACACATAAAAGCTTATTGATATTTTAAATGGTTACAAAATATAAGACTTTGAAAATATATTAAACCCCCCCCCCTTCCCCAAAAAGAAAAAAAAAGAAAAAAAGAGACTAATGTGACATTATGAGTGGTTGTTTAAAGGATTAGCATTGTTTGGAGTAAAAAGCATGTTATTGAAATTTCTCGATGAAAGAAAGTTTTCAGTCATATTTAAAAATCTGAAACATAAAAGAGGGCACTGCGCCATCAAACAAACCAAACTGGATTCAGTCTGGATCTCCATTCCTGCTTACTTTCAAAATGGAACAAAAATCCCTGCAGTTCCTCACATCCTTGCGTCGGTTTGATTGGAAAAGCAGAGCTCGTTTTCTGTCTGGTACCGGTACCAGTATGTCTGCAGCAGGGCGCTCTCTTACCTCACACAGGCTGTTTGAACTCACATCGGTTGCATCACAGCCGATCACAGCTGCAGCTAACAGATCAAATAAGGTTCCCGGCACAAACACAACACTTTATCTCTCGTCTCTTGGCTAAAAAAAGACAAAGAAGGGAAAAAAAAGGAAGAAAAAGCAGACGAAGAGCACATGCGACCAGATGAAAGTCATCAACTCCAACACGAATGTTCTTTTAATCTTTGGTTTATGAGGATTAGGTGTTAAATGTAAGCGAGTTAACGGCGCACGCGAGTGGCTCTTTGTGCAGTTCAACAGATGTGGACTGTGGTTTTGGGTAGTTTTCAGAACAATCGTTGAATCCTTTGAGATTTCACACAAACAAAAGTTTGAAAAATGAATTTTAAAATCTGACCCCCACCCCCCCCAAACAAAAAACTGATCTAAAATGAAAGATGGAATTTTGGGTGCCAGATGACTTCAACTAACTGATTTTAAAAGCTGGTATAGAATATGCACCTTATGGCTGTACATAGAAGTTTTAGCTTAATTAAAGGCTGCTACATTGGTTGGCTTCACACCTTGAACAGCGTCTGCTGCCTGTGTTTGTGGCTCCCTGAATGTCACGTAAAGAATATGTTTTTTAACAGGCACAGGCTCATTTATCTCTCAAAGCTGGGCGGATTGTGTGCTTGAGTGTTTGTGTTTGTTTTTGAGGATGTGTGCTTGAGTTTGAGTGAAGGGACGAGCCACTCACAGCAAAAAAAAAAAAAAAAAAAAAAAAAAAAACACATTAGAGCATTTCCATTTGCTCCCCACTTGCTGAGCTTGAACCCACGCAGTTTGTTCTGTCTCTGGTTAGTCTCTGTCTTTTGCTCCTTTTTCAATAAAGCCACAACCCATTCTTTAAAAAAAAAGTAAAAAAGAAAACTTTCCGTGGCAGATGGAGACAGAGGCCTCAACGCCTATGGCTTTCAGATCTTCTGGCACATGTGCAGTCGGGACTTGGACGAGGAGGTGGCGTCTTTCCACACCTTGCAGGAGAGGCCCTTGGCGCAGTCGCAGCGCTGGAAGATTTCCAAGCCGTGAGAGCCTTTCTTCCTCTGCTTGGTACACACCTCTCCCAGCCTCAGCACCGGCTTGCAGATTTTTGTCCAGAAATGGCGAGCGCAGCAGTAGCCGTCTGAACAGTCAGACGAGCGTAAGCAAGGGTCGCCCTCGTGACCTTGGAGAGGAGGAGAAATTCATGGTTCAAAGCGACAAATGGCAAACAATGACTTGTAAAACAACAATGCAGTAAGACAAAATACTGCAAAGCAAATGCACAACGTTCATAAGGTTTAAGGTTTACCATACAAATATGTTTATGTAAGCATTTTCTCTCATTTGATTTGTTTGTTGGAACAAAGAAATAAGGGAGTGGCATGATGAGTACCCGGTTGCTGGGATGTGGTAAACATGCCCTTTCTTATTTTTATATCCAGCTTTTAACCCAAATTAGCATTTTATTATTCATGAATATCATTGACCAAACTTTGTATTTTGTTTATGTAAATTTTGTTTATAATACCTGTAAAAACTGAGCTTATTAGGCAACCTCACTTATTTGAGTTTTACACTGCCAAGCTGGGTTTAATTTTGCTTTGGTGATTTTATTTAGTCATGCTTATAAATGTGTCTAATTTAGTAATTTCTTTATTACAAGATGATTTGATTTGATTTATTTATTTAACAGGAAAAGATTATTTAAAATCAAGCCTGACTCGGCATGATTGCTGTTTTACAGCAGGTTCCTGTTCTGCAGCACATAAATCAATCAATCAATCAAACTTTATTTATGAAGCGCTATAACATCAGCCACTGCTGAAACAAAGTGCTGAACACGTAAAATAAAAACTGAATACAAAAACACAATAAAATCACTCAGTTAGATAAGTAAAATCAGCACCAGTACAGTAAAAGTTGAGAAAAATCAAATCTCAGTTGGGTTGAAGGCCAGTGAGAAAAAAAAAGTTTTTAAATGAGTCTTAAACACAGGGATAGTGCCATTTTCCTATCGTACACTATTTTATATAACGTTGGTCCACCCTTTGCAGCTAGAACAGCTTCAACTGTGCTGGGAAGGCCGTCTACAAGGTTTAGTAGTATGTTTATGGGGATTTTTGACCATTCTTCCAGAATCACATTTGTGAGGTTACATACTGATATTGGACAGAATGCCTGGCTCTCAGTCTCCGCTCTAATTCATCCCAAAGGTGTTCTATCAGGTTGAGGTCAGGACTCTGTGCAGGCCAGTCAAGTTCATCCTCACCAGACTCTGACATCCACGTCTTTATGGACCTTGCTTTGTGCACTGGTGCACAGTCATTTGGATGGGTGAGCAAATACTTTTGGCAATGTACTTTGTGGTACAGTGAGTTGCATTTTGTGTACATCTACCAATAATACTAATCAGCACATTTTGTGGACTGTCAACAGAAACCGGTAAAAAAAAGAAAGAAAGATTCAGCCATTTAGACCTCCAAAATGAATATACTGAAATTAACACAAGAGAAAACACAACAGTGATAGTGATTTTGCTGGGCATAAAAAGGTAAAACATCAGTCATATGGGGTTAAATTTTCACCTTTAGGAGTGTGTTTAGCTTGTGCCTTCCCTTTCCTCCTCCAGCTCTGGTCTTTGGTTGATGTTGTGCTGTGATCATCTAATGCTGAGATGTGAGGAGAGAGGACACTCTCAGAGATGGAGACGCAAATGTCTGAACAGATGAAAGAAATAAAAGAAAACACAAAGACAGTTATGAAAATTAAACAGAAATCTGGCTGACATCTTGGCTAGCTTAAACATAAATCAGATTATTCAGAGTTTTGAGGATTCTGAAGAGATTGAATAAGAGTACCTGTAAGATAGCTAATAAAAAACAAGTACAACACTGAGCACTTTTTGGGTTGTGCTGTCAGTACAAAGCATGCTTCATGTGTTGGCTGTTTTTGTCTCAGTCATCTCACAGGTAACCTCGGCTGTGGCTTGTAAAAACATCCAGTTATCTCGAACATTAGAAATCTGCAGGTTTTTAAATAGAATCAATTGAGTGAAGACAGAAAAATTCAATGAATCAATGGTGTGGATGATCTGATTGCTTTACAACGCTTACACACTCAAACCCAATTAAAACCACTCACACATCAGTATGCCCATGTGGGAAGACTGCCAAGTTCTGAGTGAATACAGATGAAATCCAATTCTAGTTTTTTTTCACCGTTCTGTCTGTACCGTGGACAGATGTTGATTTTTTTTTGTCACTCCTCTGAGAACTAAACTGACTAATCTTTACAAGGTTTTAAACCTCAAAGCAAAATGTAGGAAACTGTACCTCCATGTAATTTAAAACTATATGTGGGGGGAAAAAAATCCATCCAAAGAACAATGACGGCGTAGTCTCTGCACAAACATTAATTCTATTCACACACGGTTTCAGTGAAACAGCGTTCAGCATGTGAGCACTGATTCCTTACCTCTGGGCCTCAATTTAATACAGTTCAGCTACAGTTCACAGTTCAGTCTGTGTTCGGCTTGAGGTCTTTGTCATTCAGACGTATCTAAATACAAGACCCTGGTGGTGCATCGAATGTACAACAAGCTGTCTTTTCCAGCACCATTTACAGACAATGAACCAAACTCCTGCAGTTTGCATGAAGGTTATGATGTACAGTAACTGAAGCGCAATGATGTGAGTGTGAGCGCACGCACAGTTACTGCAGCGGTTCCCAGGGCAGCACATGGCGTCCCGTTGGCAGCGCTTCTTCCTCCGGCGGCAGGCGAGGCAACGAGACGAAGCCTGTTGAGGGCTGTGGCAGTAGCTGCCCACGCTGCACTCTTTGTCATTGCTGCACGGATACACCTGCTGAGACAAACACAGCAAACAAAAGCACCACAACTTACTTGACTTTGCAATTCACAAAGATATATTTATTCAATCCATGGTGTCAGCAGAGATATGAGGTAAAAATACTTTGTTACTTTACTGAAGTAGAAATTTTGGTGGAGTAATCATTTAATGCAATTATCTGTACTTTCTATTCCTACATTTTATTTCATTTTGGCTTGTTTTCATTCCAGCTTGTTATTGTTGTACAGCGCCCTCTTTATAGCTGAAACAGATGGACTAGTGCACGCCAAATTTTTCAATATTAACAATAAAATAAAACTTTATTGTCATTATGGCCTTAAATATTTTTTTATTATATTTTTTATATTTTTGACATCTTTGAAATTACAACCACTCACTTGTACTCAATACTTTTACTTTCTTAAAACTTAAATGTATTTTATATAAGAAATTAAATTTTGATACTTAAATACAGTAAATGCCAGATACTTTAAGACTTTTACTCAAGTAATATTCACAGAGGAGACTTGAGCTTTTACCAAAGTAATTGAGTTTCACTCAAGTATCACTTTGAGGTGCTTTATAGAGGACTGTGGCACCATTTGAAAGGCGTATGTATTAAAACTTGGCCCTGTGTGCTCTGCAAAAGTCATGGCAATAGTAAAAGTAAAAATAGAAGTACAGTAATCAGTTTAAAGCACAAAGCACTGAAACATGAACAGTTTTGTACAACATTGTGCCAGAAATAACTCAACTTATATTATTCTTTGTACTGTCATTGCAATGATCGTGTAAACCCTTGTGTAAATATACAATGAATGTTGAGAGCCACACAAACCGGCCATTGTGGAAATGTGACTTTTAGCAAATAGCAATACAAGTAAAACAGCAAACAACTTTATAGAAGCCAAATATTTTTGCTCTCTGTGTATTAAGTCCACACATCATGCTAACAGGCCTACATTTCTACTAACCTCCACAAGCTATGATGAAAAAAAACAATAAACTGGTAAAGTTGAGCCAAAACTTTACATAAACGTATTTTATGTGCACACTCGAGCTGTCCTACAATCATTGTGTATCATCAAAATCACAATAAATTAAAGTCAATCTTATTCAGTGACATTCATCTGCATTTAGAAGCAATTATTGTGAATCATTACCCCAGATTTATGACTGCGATGCTTAAAGAAACCAAGCTAAGTACGCCTCAATGAGCCAACTAAAAGTACTTTTGTGCAAGTTGTGCAGCGTTGGTTACTTTATAACCTGAATATACAGTATATTTTGGCCTTTGAGGAAAACTGAGCTGGAATAACTCATGGCCAGAACTTTAGAATTGTTTCAGAAGAAAATGTCAGAGTTTCAGAAAATAGACGTCCATGCTTGGCAAGTAAAAGCTGAACGCTGTTCGCTCTCGTTTTGATAAGTGAACGACACGACTTCACTTCCTCCTCATTTTCTCCAAGTGCTCAGAGCTTTAATGAGGTGTAACTGAGGGGTAATTTTCTCCACAATCATACTCCTTCCTAGTTCATTTGGCTGGGATTTTGTTTTAATACCTTTTTTTAGTCAAAAGTTGAAAAACACTGTATGTCTTTCCTTTCAGCAGACTGAAATCCAAACAGAAACATTAAAAAATACAAAACGTGCCATCATTGTCCTTGGCAATAGCAGATACTATGATAGCAAACTCCTTTTTTCATTTTACTTGTTGTACATCCTGTAAGAACCAAAATGGGAAAATAAATGATGGCATAAAAACAACTTTTAACTTTTGACAAAATAAAATTTAATTGTGTGGGTGTTGCTGTGTGTACATATACAGGTGCTGGTCATAAAATTAGAATATCATGAAAAAGTAGATTTATTTCAGTAATTCCATTTAAAAAGTGAAACTTGTATATTATATTCATACATTACATACAAACTCATATATTTCAAATGTTTATTTCGTTTAATTTTGATGATTACAAATGACAACAAATGAAAATCTCAAATTCAGCATATCAGAAAATTAGAATCTTGTGAAAAGGTTCAAAATGGATGGCACCTGGTACCACACTCTAATCAGCTAATTAACTCAAACCACCTGCAAAGGCCTTTAAATGGTCTTTCAGTCTAGTTCTATAGGCTACAAAATCATGGGGAAGACTGCTGACGACAGTTGTCCAAAAGACGACCATCGACACCTTGCACAAGGAGGGCAAGACACAAAAGGTCATCGCTAAAGAGGCTGGCTGTTCACAGAGCTCTGTGTCCAAGCACATTAATAGAGAGGCGAAGGGAAGGAAAAGATGTGGTCGAAAAAAATGTACAAGCAAGAGAGATAACCGCACCCTGGAGAGGATTGTGAAACAAAACCCATTCAAAACTGTGGGGGAGATTCACAAAGAGTGGACTGCAGCTGGAGTGAGTGCTTCAAGAACCACCACACACAGACGTATGAAAGACATGGGTTTCTGCTGTTGCATTCCTTGTGTCAAGCCACTCTTGAACCACAGACAGCGTCAGAAGCGTCTTGCCTGGGCTACAGAGAAACAGGACTGGACTGCTGGTGAGTGGTCCAAAGTCATGTTCTCTGATGAAAGTAAATTTTGCATTTCCTTTGGAAATCAAGGTCCCAGAGTCTGGAGGAAAAGAAGAGAGGCACTTCATCCACGTTGCTTGAAGTCCAGTGTAAAGTTTCCACAGTCAGTGATGGTTTGGGGTGCCATGWCATCTGCTGGTGTTGGTCCATTGTGTTTTCTGAGGTCCAGGGTCAACGCAGACACATACCAGGAAGTTTTAGAGCACTTCTACAAGTTTCACTTTTTAAATGGAATTACTGAAATAAATCTACTTTTTCATGATATTCTAATTTTATGACCAGCACCTGTATATATATAATTTTATTTTATTTATTTATTCATTTACTTATTTTTGTATGTTTTCTTGAAGTCAAACTACTTGCAAATATTTTGTGTTAATTTATCATTATCTAAATTGTCTTGCTAATTTAGGCTTTTATGAGTTTGACAATTTTAGCTGCAAGCCATGGTTTTGCTAATATTAGCTTTCAGCAACAGTTTTGCTAATTTCAGCTTCAAGCAAAGTTTATTCATTTTGCATCGCTGATAAAAAGAAGTGCTTTACGACAACTTATTTTGAAAAATATATAAAAACAGATTTAAAAGCTTTAAGAACAGAGATCAACCAGTTTTGTTGATTTTAACCTCTGTTCTGCTCTTTAAACTAAAAAAAATCAATTCTGTCTTTAACAAATTCCAGCAGATATTCATCACTTAGTGTTTTCTCAAAACATATATTTTATCCAGATTTCTGTTACATTTGAAAGAGCAAAATAAAAAATACTTCAAGTTGACAGAATTTTCCACAACACAATTTGAATCAGCAAGATAAACAGGAAATGAAACGTTTAGCTGTGTAAATTATATCTGTTTGAAGACTGACATTAGAACAGCATGTTTGGTTGCCTCACCAGCGGCAGCAGCACCACATCCACATTCAGCTGGCACTGTGTTGACAGACCTGATTTAATGTGGCTTACCACTGACAAACATGACGCGGTCAGCCTGTGAGCGAGCACGAAGAATCTGAATCAAGTCTGGGTTAAATTACACCCGCAATGAATAAAAAAAATACATATTCCATTTGGAGTATTAAAATCTCTAAATATAAGTGGTCATTAACAAAAAAAAAGGCATGATTTCAGACCCTATAGGTGCACCACAGTATGTTCGAATTTCTTCCTTGTGCACACGTGCTTTAGAAAATTAACAAGATTAGATGTGCTGGATGGATGCCCACCTTCGACGTTTCTCAGGCTGGAAACACATGCAGCCAATGGCACAGGCATAGAAAAAATTAACTGGAATATTAAGTTGAATGCTCATCCATCATTATGACAGACTCCAAGAATGCAGATGTTCATCGGGGCTGATGAAAGTACTGTTTCATGGATTTCAACCAGTTTCTAATACCATGGGAGATGAAGGAAAAGTCAAAGGTTTTACCAATTAAAATGACAGGAAATGACATTTTAACATGTTAGCATCCTCTCACCAGCATCTCTACAGCTTGAATCGTATTTACTTGAAGAAATGAAGAACAAGTTGCCTGTCTGGAACTTTGCTGTCATGCTTTTTTATTTATTGTTGGCCAAGAGGCGACGCTGCTAAGAAATCAGACTTCTCAGTTGTTGCACATCAGTGTTCAACCCTCTCAAAAACCACAAACTGTCATTTTACATTTGTATTTGCGCTTGGATTAAACGTACGGTAATTAGATTTAGAGACAAGACTAGCTGTCCTCACCGCTTCCTGACTTCATAATAATCTTTTTTTTTGGCTCCAGTTGTTTACTTCACATGCAAAGTCTTTTGAAGAACACAGATACATATACTCCATATTGGAAAAGATTTGCTGTAACTTGATAAAGCTTAGCTATAGATGTACTGAGGATTGTTGGGGGTAAACACAAAGGAAAGAACATGCAGCTGGAAATATGGTCTGAGGAGAAGTTTGGGAGTTTTTGTTACTGACAAGAGAAATGCGCTGCCGTGTAAATATGATGACAGCTCGGTCCAGTCCCGTCCACTAAAGCATTTCACACTACCTGCTCTGATTCCGATCTGTCTTTGTAGCCTGCAGAAGTTTTAGATCAATTACAAGCCTTCGCCTTTCAGCAGGAAAGACTTGAGTAGAAAAAGACTTGGGCTCACCTCTTCCATCATGGCTAGAAAAAAAAGAAAGACAGATCTTTGAAAGCCAGAGATATCTGAGCCTTTAACCACAGCTGATAATCAGGCCTTATCCTGTCATGTTTCAAAACACCTCGTTTACAATTTCTGAAGGACGGGGCTTTATTCAGGCGCATCTTCCTCATCTCGTATATCTACTTCTTTTATTCTGTTGCTCCCTTATTTATACCTTGACTTCCGTCACACATTAAAGTGTAAACTTGGCTCCTGCACAGGAAGGGAGTTAAAAACCATGTTACTCCGCATCCTCTCG